TTGAGAATAAAAGAAGGCGCCAACCACGCGTTGGAAATAAATAGAACGCGTTGCTAAGAGGAATCGCACCTGCATCTCAATGACGTATCCGGTCATGAGCAGAGTTTGCCGCGTTAAGGAAAAATTGAAAGACAAAAAGGAATCAGTGTCGGGGAACCATTCACAATGTTTGCATGAAAAATCCCACGCGAAAGTTTTTTTGTTTTTGTTTTTTTGAGTGTCTTTAAGAACACTACGTTACAAACACTATGGTATCTGAATCCCGATTAATGGAAGATTGCCATGATTGAGTGCCACAATTTCTGTTTTAAGATTTATTCAGTATAATAATACAAATGTTCACCCCAACAGAGGTGCACATACAGTTTTAGCGACCCGAAGGGCTCATTGTCAACCGAGGCGAAGCACTACGATAAAGACTTTCCGTTCCCAATAAATAATAAGACTTCCCGTTCCCAACATTATGAAATTCTTTCATCTTTTCTGGGGGGAAAACCCTGAAAAAAACTGATTTTAACAAGACAATTTAGAAATTTATATTAAGAATAATTCATAACAAAATGTATTCCATATGTAAATTATTTCATAATTACTGATTACACACGAATATTACAGAAAACAAATAATTTGCAATATTATTTATATGTGTGCCTTTTATTTGTCTTGAATTGTGACTGAAAGGAGCTAGATGAAATTACAAACTATGTAGTGTGTTCGACAACTCATGTATGAACAATAACTTTAATAAATATGATTTTACTTGGTAAATATATTGTATTTTTCTACATAAAAACAAAAGAATTTCACAATGTCGAAAACGGAAAGTCTTTATTACCATAGTGTTGTTGGTAATAGTTGAAAATGAAACATCCACGTGAACCTGCTTATATGAGATCGAAGGAGTCTCTGTTTTCAACAGCCGTATACATCTAACTGCGTCATCGCTAAGTTTCCTTGTGGACCACGAGCTCTGTTCCTTGTTTGCACGTTATCATGTTCACACAATCACAGACATTATTTGTAAGGGTGCCCTTTGAAATGGCACATTTTCTCGATGTTTTAGCAAGTACTCCGCGGGGTATATGGCTTGTTCTCACATTAGCATAATTTTCCTCAAGTTCACTCATCGTTTTCCCACATGCATTTCTCGTTCTTTGCTGCTAACTTTTTTTTGCACTCTAATATGTTGTTGTTTTTGTCTTTCTAAACATCGAGTTTATTTTTGATTGAAATTCAACGAGATCGTTTAAATTTTGAATTTGATGACGGTTCGAATTTATCCACTTTTACAGTGATCAATATTGCGTTTGAGTTGAGTTACTAGTAATTATAGGCATGATTTACATTTTTCTTGCGGTGTTTTTCGTCAATGTATTAAATACAAGTACTTTGGGAAATAGCATAATTATATTGCGTCAGTGAAAGAGTCTGATGAGGCTGTGTCACAACACGTTTTATTTATTTTCAACGCGCATGGTCGGCACCTCTGATTGCGTTAATTTTGTATTTTTATTTTCGAAATGTATCACTGGCGTTTGTTTTGTTTTATGTTTTCCTCTTTCATTTTTCGTCAGGCTGCTGCCAATCCAATAATTCATCGCCGCATGTACCCAGACACAAGCAAAAGTTAACCAGATAGATTTTCTGAACTACAGCATTCGTATTACTTGTGCAAATTGAGTAAGGGTCATAGTGCGAGTTGCGTTCGCAAAAAACACAGTGTCAAATTATTTTGAGCGCCGTTCGGAATAAATTTAGTCAAAATCACACAGAAACACACACACACACACAACACACAAATACTAGTACTCAATACATATCACGATTGATTGACCAGTCATATAGCTGCTTGAACTACACACACAAGGACGTAAATATGTAAACACAGGTCACAGATCAACTTGCGTAGCAAACGTTACAATGTGTCAAGTGATTTGAAGGCGTCTTTGTCCCTCTTCCCAATACAGAGTTAGCAATACGCGTTGTATTTTGAATAGTCATTAAAACATAAATTTATTACGAATAAAAACATAAGTTTATAGATACAATGTACGATCATCGTTACTCCAGCGGTCAGTTGGCAAGCAGACGATGTTTCTGAAGCCAGCCATAGCAGGAGCGAGTGAACGAAAAAAAAGCGGTCGGTTTCCGGTCGGAAAGCAGCGAGTGGTCGGAAATTAAGCGACAAGCGGTCGAAAAAAAACGCAATAAAAGCGGGAGGCTGGACGGGATGAATACTGTACAGTCTACTATGGACAGTTTCCAAGGTAACTTATTACTTACCGCAGCTCTGTGTCCTGAGGCACCTGATAACGTTGGATGTGATACAGTATCATCGCTGTCATCTAAATCCAACCACCACTGCATTGCACCATCACCACTGGTGTAATAAGTAGATGTATAATAATCATGATGGTCCTGTCAATAACAAATTCAGCTTATTTACAACACAATCTAGCTAATCACCAAAACCACTGCCCTTACTTGCATCAAAGTTGTATATTGTAGACAAAGTTTAGTTAGAAGCTTTTGACATGTTAAGTAATATGTGTACTGTAATAAATACAGCTACATGTACAGTATTGCCAATAGCCAATCATCATTGAGCAGTTGTGATGGAGTTTTCAGCATCTTAAGGAGTTAGTCAGTGGATTTAGCCCTGAAACAGGCCGAACCGGGAAGTAAATAGTACATTAACAAGTTTGGTATCAAAAGATGGGGAATTTTTTGTAGATTCCCCCCCTCCCCCCCCCCCCAAAAAACAAAAAAACAAAACAAGAACTGATAACATGGGCATTTTTTTTACACGGGTAGATGTAAGGGTTAGTGTTTTTCGTACATTTTAGATTTTTCTTACATTTATATTTTGTAATTAATATTACTTACAGCCTACACATTATTTCATATAGATATTGCTAGTGTTTTCTATACACTTTTTATTTAGATAAACTGAAGAAACTATCCGCCAGTTATAGAACAGAAATTTGCTGATGTCAGCATTTTTTTTTTTACAATTATTTTAATCCTATCAAGTAGTCAACCAATCTTTTGTTTTACCAGATACCTATCGGTATAACAAAATATCTTTCCTTTATTTCTAAGCATCAGCATCTAGAAAACTAAGCACTGTTTGAAATTTTAATGACTCTTTTGTAATTTCCAGGTTTTTTTTTAAACACCCTGTTATTCCTAAAATATAGCTGAATCCTGTTACACAAGGAAGATTGTTATGGCAAGACTTATAAACACTTTTCTATGA